TGAGTCGAATCCGCTGTTAGGAAGCATTTAATACTATATTTAATCCTATATTTCGAATGTATCACATAAATTCTCTGAAATGAGAAAAATTAAATAATTTTCTGTGATGGAACAAAAGATTTCTAATTTCGACTTCGAATAATTTTTCCCCCGGCTAATCTTGTTATGTTGCCTTGACCGTGAACGGTGCATTATTCTTTTGAATCCGGTACCAACGGGTATCATTCCCCCTAAAACAACATTCTCTTTAAGACCTTTCAACCAATCAATACGACCCCGAAGAGCGGCTTTTGCTAAAACTCTAGCAGTTTCTTGAAAACTCGCTTCGGATATGAAACTTTGAGTATTCAGAGATGTTTTTGTTACTCCCAATAATAAAGCTCGGTAACAAATGGCTTCTTCCAAGGCACGCCCCGTTCGTTCTGCTCGCAATAATCCAATTAGTTCGCCAGGTAAAAATACATTAAAAATTCCATCTTCTGAAACCAAGACTTTGGATGTTATTTGACGCACAATAATCTCGATATGTCTATTATCGATGTGTACTCCCTGGGATCGATAAACCTTTTGGATTTTATTAACCAAAGAAATACGACTTTGAGCTATAGTTAGCTCAGCACCAATCAAGAATCCCCAAGGAATGCCGAGAATTTTTGTTATACACTCGTTCCAAGCATCAATTCTTTTTTTTAGATTCATGGATATTGAAGCAATCGAACGTATTTCGAATATCTGTTCCACTTTTGGAAGACCTTGTGTTATATCACTGGATCTCGATTTTTCATATAGGAATGTAACTAAAATATCTCCTTGAGAAAGGATCTCCCCATAATGGCCGTGAATAGTTGATTTTGGAGTCGCCAAATAAGGATTAGCCGATCTTATTATTACAGAATCCATTTGAACTGTTATAACTTGACCCGATTTTAATTTTAGGTGTGGTCCATTTTTCATTTGAGCTATACATATATTTTCACAAATAAATTGTCCAAGACTTATTATTGGAAACGTTTTTTCACAAGAAAAATAATGGAGAAAAAACCAATTTAAATGGAATGGATTCAAAACGATATTACTGTATAGATCGGGTTTACAAATTTTCTCATTTTCGTCCATGAAATAATATTTCATTACTTGAAAAATTTCCTTTAATTTGTCAAGTTGCAAAATTTTTATTATTGAGATCTGATTATGAGTTATTAAATGATAAAGTGAATATAAATTTGCAACTATTCCTAAAGGGCCGAACGAATTATTATTCTTCTTAATTGAAATTATAGGATCTTTTTTTATCCCATTGTGAGATTTTACATTGTTGAATGGTCTCATTTGAAAACAATTAGATGATGACAAAATTATCCAAGATCGACATTCTTTATTTCTATTCAACAACATACGAATAGTTCCGTGATTTTGGCTAAGTGATTGTTGAATTTTTCCCTTGGAATGAATAGAAAAAAATGGATTGATTCGATCCGATTTATTATCCCTAATCAATCCTAAACAAGATGGGTCATTTCTTTTTCTGATATATGAAGTATTCGATTTTACTAAGTCAATTCTTAGAAAATACTCAATCAAACCATTTGTACTTACTTCAATAAAGGAAGCGGGGGCCTCCTCAATCGAAGAACTTTTTTTGCCGTCATCCCAATGGAAGACTAAACAAGTCCGAAGGAATGGAATCCTTGTGTCGGAAATTTCCCGAATGGATTTTCCAATAGAATTGACAACTTTTAGTTCCAGATTATCCTTTTCCTGGAATAGATCTTGGGGAAAAAGTTTTACAAAATGGATAGTGTCCGGTATTTCATATAAAATTGCATGTCGAACCAAAACAAATTTTTTTTTCTTTTTTTGTGTAGTTGCGATCCATTGGACATAGATCCCATCTTTAATTTTTTTTGATTCCTTGCATTTTTTTTGTAGTTGCGATCCGTTGGACATAGATCCCATCTTTATTTTTTTTTGATTCCTTGCATTTTTTTTTACCGTTCCGGGTGGTATAAAGATGGGACTGTGTCTTGATATCTTATCAATCTCTCTGGGAAAATGGATATTTCCAGAAAATATTTTTAATTCTATTTTTTTTCTTTTCTAATCGGACCAATCCGCCTACTCGACTACTTATATTGAAAGTGATTGGTGTTCCTCTTCCAACAAGACTATTATTCCGTACCATTAGGGAAGAAGATTGGGGTAAAACATGCACTTCTTCGGGAATCAAAAAAAAGGGACCTACTTGAATTGGATAGTTTGGCTTTAATTTTTTTCTTCCTCGATACTCAATGAAATCTTCTTTTTGAAAAATGGGTTGAGGATGATCGAAATAAGCAAAAATACTATTTCTAGGAAAAATACCATTGATAGGTATTTCAATGGAGACACCGGAAGGGGACATTAGTTCGTTCTTTCGTTCTTGAATCGATTGGAATGGAAATGGAATAAGAAATCGATTTCTTCGCCTTTTCGCCAAGAAATAAAAAGTATCGTGAAAAATAGAGGGATACATTAAATAAGAATGATCCATATATATGATTGGATTAAATATTGAATAATCGCTGATCCCCTTTTCTTTTGTACCAAAAGTATGGAAACCAAAGAATTTATGTTTTACTTGATTATTCCTTTCTACAAGATTCGAAATATTTTTTTTCCATTCGAAAGTGAATCCATGGTAATTTGATCTTGATCCTTGTGAAGTAAAAAATGGGTTGTATTAGACCTGCACGACTTTCCTGACAATATCCATAAATGACTTGTTTTTGGTAAGATATGTACATTACTATCCATAAATTCTGATGCATGGTACACATCGGTACTCCAATGCATTTCCCCTTCTGAGTCAGAATAAATATGTTTTCGAACCCTCTCTTTCAAATTAAAAGTATATGTTCCCGCGAGGATCTCCGCAATCATTTGTTCTGATTTTACATATTGATCATTTTTAACTAATAGAAAACTTTTTGGTGGAATAATGACGTTATGTATAATATCGTAACTTTCTATAGTTACATACATGTCTATATTACATATAAAAGCAGGATATCCATGACGTGTACGTGTAGGGTGAACTAAATCCTCATTCCATTTTATCTTTCCATTCGAGGGGGCTCGCACATATTCAGCAGTACCCCCTGTGAATACTCCACCAGTATGAAAAGTTCTTAATGTTAGTTGAGTTATCGGTTCTCCAATAGATTGACCAGCAATAATGCCTACAGCTTCTCCCAATTCTACCAGGTCCCCATGAATAGGACTCCGCCCATAACACAATCGGCAGATCCACGACGTATTCCTACAGGTAAAGGGGGTTCGAATAAATATGGGTTGTGTTTGAAAAGTTATGAATCGATTGATAAGTCCAATTCCAATATCTTGATTTCTAACGACAATGCACCGTGAACCTATATATATTGTCTGCTACTACACGACCATTTAATGTTTGTATCAAAATTCTTTCTGGCATCATTCCATTTCGGATGTTTACAGAAATCCCACGGATGGTACCGCAATCTGTTCGCCGTACAACAATGTGTTGAACCACTTCAACAAGTCGACGTGTAAGATATCCAGCATCTGATGTTCGTACAGCAGTATCTACAACCCCTTTACGGGCTCCGTAGCAAGAAATTATATATTCTGTTAAAGACAGTCCTTCACGAAAATTGCTTTGAATGGGTAAATCAATCATATGTCCTTGTGGATCTGACATTAATCCTCTCATTCCGACTAATTGGTGTACTTGAGATGCATTTCCTCTAGCTCCTGAAAAAGACATTATATGGACTGGATTAAAGGGGCCAGTCATCCTAAAATTGGGAGTCATTTGTTGTCGCAAATATTCGCTTGTATCATACCATATTTCAATGGATTGGCGTAATTTTTCTACCACATGGACATTCCCATAATGATTATGTTTTTCCAAAACGGAACTTTGTTGTTCAGCATCTTGGACTAGCCATCCTTTAGAAGGTATTGTTAAAAGATCATCAATTCCTAATGAAATAGATGTAGCAGTAGCTTGATGGAATCCTAGAGTCTTTACTTGATCCAGGATGTGTGATGCATATGCCATTCCGAAATGATCTATTAATTTGCTAATAAGTCGTTTAATGGCAGTTCCACCTATCACGTTATTGTGAAAGACTAGATTGGTCCCTTCTGCCATAAGTCCCTCCATATTCCACTCAGTGGTATTCGGTTCGACGACAATAGATTTGAGTGAATGATTGGAACACTCCCTTTTCTTTATGTTTATTTACGTAGAAAATTGAAAAGATGCTAGTTGACCTGAATTTACACCAGTATCCTAAATTTACTTAGCGTGGATACCAACACTAACCATCTATATGATTAGATACTATATGATGAATCGGCTCGAGAAAAACCTTGTATAGCTTCTTCGATTTCTCGATAAAAAGAAATATGACCAATAGTGGTTCGAATGTATATACAACGAATTTCTTTTTTTATACTTCTTATTACTAAATAATCCTCATAAATCTCATAATAGGTACCAAAAGATTCATAGTGAACTTCGATAGGAACTTCTCTTGAAGACATAATGCATTGATGTATTTGCCACCGGAGCCAAAAAGGACTATCCAAATTTATTCTTTTCTGTCTGTAAGCTCCAATTGCATCATAGGAATTGCAAAAACAGGGTTCTTTTTTTTCATATACTTCAAGTTCTTAAAGTTATTATTGCTCATTTTTTCATTTTGAGGATTTCTGCAATTAAACCAATTATACCTGTTTGCACAAATACCTCGACGATTTTCGCTAGTTAATACATAAAGTCCAATAAGCATATCTTGAGTTGGTACAGAAATAGGATCCCCAATAGTCGGAGACAAGAGATTCGTAGTAGAAAACATAAGTAAATGAGCTTCTGCTTGAGCCTCCAAAGATAAAGGCACATGAACAACCATTTGATCCCCATCAAAGTCTGCGTTGAATCCCTTACACACCAATGGATGTAAACAAATAGCACGTCCTTATACTAAAATGGGTTGAAATGCCTGTATGCCCAATCTATGCAAAGTAGGCGCTCTATTCAGCAATACTGGATGTCCCCGCATAACTTCGTGAAGTATTTCCCATACAATTGGTTCTTTTTCCCGGATTTGACTCTTAGCAACTCCTATGTTCGAAGCAATATGGTTTCGAATTAAACCACGAATTAGAAATGTCTGAAATAGCTCTATTGCTATTTCGGGGGGCAATCCACATCGATGTAATGAAAGTAATGGACCTACGACAATAACAGAACGCCCCGAATAATCAACTCGTTTTCCAAGAAGGGTCTCTCGAAATCTTCCCTCTTTGCCCGAAATTATATCGGAAAACGATTTGTAAACTTTCTTATGACCGTCCCTTATCGGTTGTCCGCGGATTCCATTATCAAGAAGTGCATCCACGACTTCTTGTACCAATTTTTCTTGAGACATTACTAATTCCGCTGGTGTAAATCCACTTGTTCTTAATAGCTCAATAAGAGTATTGTTCCGAAAGATAACTATTTTATAGAGTTTATTAATATCCAAACTCATTAGTTTACCGCCATCTATTTGAATAATTGGTCTCAATTCGGGAGGAAGAACTGGTAAGAGACATAAAACCATCCATTCTGGTTCTATATTTGTTAGGAGAAAATGCTTAGCTAATCCCATGCGTCGAACCAAAAAATTCTTTCTTCTTCGAACTTTTTGATTTTTCCATTTGTCATTGGACCCCTCTTTTCCTAATTCTTTCCATTCTAGCAACGAAGAATCCATAATAATTCTTAAATCCAGATCAACTAATTGTTGTCGTATAGCACCCGCTCCACTAGAAATTTCTCTATTTCGAAATGTATCGAAACCTTGAGTATCAAAAAAGAGTGGGATACTGTCTTTCCAGGATTGGATTTCATATTCGAATGAACCTCGTAATCGTAAGAAAGTTGGTTTTTTAACTACGGGCCTAGCAAAAGAAAAATTTGGATAGGATCCAATAAGATGGATCGCCCCCTTTAAAATCGGACATGAGGGTTTCCTCTCATCCGGCTAAAGTATTTGCACACAATTAAAGATAAAGAAAGGGGTTTCCGCTTTCCAATTTTGGAAAACCTCTAATCTAAAATCAAAAAGGTTTACTCTTTACTCAAGTTATCAATAAAGACCAAGCAACATTTCATTGATACATTCTTCTTTTTTTTTCTGAATTTTTTATCCAATTCGAAATTAAGACAGAAATAAAATGTAAAATTCTTGAGTAGTCTACCTCCCTTCGAACGAGGAATCCTCTAAAATAAAATTCTTAATAAAAAAGGAATATCCTTGAATTCATAAGAGATTTCTTTGTCTATGTATCATACCGTTCGATCTTTTAGGTCAAGACGTCACCTCGACGAGTCTGCCACGATGTCTTAAAGCCTATATGCGATAGATAAACTTTTGCAATCATGATATATTTTATTCTTTGAACATAATTTGAGTTATTTAAAAAAAAGAGATGGAATAATGAATTCCACAAAAAAGTATTTTTTTTCACAAGGTACATACAGTAAATAGTTATTTGTTACTGAATTAACCATAGACCAATTCCCTTTTTGATTGGGGAGTATTCAATACACCCATGAATTCTGAGCTTCATGTTACTCATCCCAAGAGACATGCCAGATATAGGACATTCCCATTTAATTGAATGGAATGACAATTTATCATTCGAAATCTGTACAATAAGAATTTTTATCAAATCACACATCGCGGTATACTAGATTCTCTAATTCTTTAAGAGGTTTATCTAAAAGGCTCGCGATATAACTAGGAAGACATTTCAAATACCACACATGGGTTACAGGACATGCTAATTGGATATACCCCATTTGATATCTACGTATCCGAGAATCAACAAATTCTACTCCGCATTTTTCACAAAATTTTGGTTGGTCTTTTTTATCTCTGATTACTCGATAATTTCCACAAGCACAAATTCCACTTTTTATAGGCCCAAAAATTCTTTCACAAAATAATCCACCTTTTTCAGGCTTATTGGTTTTATAATGAAGAGTATAGGGTTTTGTTACCTCCCCAACTATTTCTCCATTGGGTAGGATTTTTTTTCCCAAGCACTTATTTGTTCAGGAGAAACTGATCCAATTCGAAGGTGTTGATGTTTATACTGATCAATCATAAAATAAAAATTCTGATTCAGTCCAATTAAACTTCCTTCCTTTGAATTTGAAAGTCTTTCTCAGATACAAGGAAATGATTCAGTTCCAGAGCCAAAGATCGTGGTTCTCAAACGAGCAATCGAAACGATTCTGTAGCATCTACAGGTTTCAGTATTGTTCCTCCAATAATTGTAGTTCCAAGTACTTCTTGACGACCTTTAATATGATCCGATTTATAAGTCAGCATCTCTTGTAAAATATGAGCAACACCGAACCCCTCGAGAGCCCAAACCTCCATTTCGCCTACCCGTTGTCCTCCCCCTTTGGCCCTTCCTTTAAGG